TTTCTATTTTTTATGTGCAACACCATAGGAGGTAATTTGCATCAGTTCGAGTTAATTAGATTGTAAAATATAATTGATTCTTTAGACATACACAAATACACTATATGATCGATTTATATTAGATAACTTTATGGTAGTGCAATTGCAATTCCTAATTTTCTTAAGTTAGATAGAAATCTATTAGGAACTAGTGGCACTTGACTACACACATGGATCAGTTGAACAACTGCAACTACTTTCTTTCACTGCTAGTCTAAAAATGTGAACAATACTTCACTTGTAATTCATAATGGATTTCTCAAGTTTAATACAACTCTCTCTATCGTCTCTCAAACACTATTTTAGGTCATTTAGCTGTGAGTTCCACTGTTCAAGAACGGTTAGAAACACTCTATTCTCTTAGGATTGATCCCCTTCATATTTTGGATCTTATCACACCACAAAATTTAATATACTTAAAAAAACGACCTTCTAGTCTAAATGAAAAAGTGTAAATCAAACAAGAAGAGTTATAATCGCAGTGCAATTTTGAGTATTTAGGCGTGCTGCAGTGAATTTCATGAAATATAGCTAATTCATCTATAAGCCAATTATTCAATTATTTCCTTCTTCATTTCCAGTCCTACTTGCCTTATAAATCAGCATGTAACAGTTTTTTATTTTTAGATGGAGCATGTAACAGTTAAGATCTTATCAATTCTAAAATGAATCCAAAAGCTGGCAACATAAAGATACCTATGTAATCTTTCCAGTAAAATGAATTATATTAGCATACATGTGATCTTTTGATACATTGATATCATTAACCAGTACAGGTTACCATTTACGGAAGCACCCACATTAACCTCATCAATAGATTTCCTTGAAATCAGTCACCATGTTCTTGATGTCATCAGCAACTCAATAATCAGAAGACATCATCTAAACTATGAGTACCAAAAGCCTTCATTTGCAAGATACTTGATTTGCATTTGATAATGATTCTAGCTCGGGTAGTAAGTTTTACCATCTACCCATTAACATAGTCAAAAGTTGCAAAAGTTATTTTACTTTTGCAACCTATCAGCCTATACAGTTACCTCACAAACATAGCAACCTTTCTGAATCCTATAACAAAATACTGAACTGACTTAAAATCCATTAGTATCTAGACAAAAAGAATTATCATTAAGTTTATCCATCCCTCTGTTCTTCACATCAAAGTTCACCGCAGGACACTTGTTTTACTAATAGAAAACAATATCGACAAAGTGTTCTACCCAACCAAATGACAAACATATGCACAAGTAAGCAAATCCACACAAGAGACAACTAGCAGAATGTCACAGCCCTCGCACTTTAAACAATTCCACACAGACATCAATTCACTTATTTTAGTAGGAACAAATTGGCATTTATGCCTACCAACAAGCAAATAAATCAAGAAACATTTTTAGTACTGAAATTTTCAAATATTTCTCTCAAAAGATAACTTCTGTTAATACTGAATTTCTTGTTTGAGATGCAGCCAGGCTTTAGACAAATATAAAATGGCTTCTAGTCCTATAGAAACAGCAAAATTAACATGATCAAAACTCAGCCTAATGCACCCCCTAACAAGTAAATATATCTAGAAACAACTCTAAAAACTACAATGCAAAATAACAAATTTACTCTTTCAGTGATGAATCAGATAAACACAATACACCTACAAAGAGGAGACCAAGGGATAGATTTATTAATAAGAATAAGGAGAACTTCACAGAACCAACAAAATTTGAAACAACTCTAGTAACCATAATTCAGAAATTTCTCTTAAAAGATTGCTCCTCACAGTGATTAATTTCTACCATAATATGCAATCAAGTTTCAGAGTAACACAACATTCATTAAAAGATTCAATTTTTACATGAAGAGAAAATCAAAACTGCACTTTCCAACTACTAAATAAACAAAAAAACGCGAAGGTGCGCATACCTGAAATTCGAGTAAGGTAGAAAATAGAGATTGAGTTGAGATCGCTGCTAGGAAGACCTGTGCTTTCTCGGTTTTGAGAAAACACAGATGAAACGCTGAGAACTACGAGCTATGCTGAGATCGCTTCAAGGCAGATGTTGCTAGGGTTTTCTGATTCACGATAGTGTTTTGAGAAACAAAACGGTATTTGTCTTTTTTTATTTTTGCAATTTTAATTACACTTATGTTTTGGCTTTAAGTTTTGGTGAAAAAAGAACTTTTTTTTAATTTGACCCTTAAATTATAATTTGGGACCACTTATTAATTTTTTTAGAGACTAGATTTAGTACCTTCATAAAAACATACATACTTAAGGACCGAAATAAAATCTCGTCCCAATACATATACTTTTAGAGACATGATTATTAACTCGTCCCTAAATGTTGGTCTTAAATAAAGCTTTTTCTTGTAGTGGTGATTAGCACTCGAGGTCCTATGTGGTGTGTATTGTTGGCAATCAACTTTACAAGTAAGACTCATAACTTTGTCTCTTTTTTGCTATACATCTTTGTGTTCTTATAAGAGGATAAATGTAGATCTATGATCCTTTTGTGAATATGCGTTATCAAATTTGTCTACCCAATGAAAATTGTGATTAAAAAAAGATGTATATGTGATCTCTAAGATTTTTTCATTTCTCTAATGCAGCCATAAACTCGATTTGATGATTTATCTTAATTGATTATGTAGATTCAATTGAAGATGATCAATGTTTGTCACAACTGATTTAAGTATTTTCAAACACATGAAATGACCATCAAGTTAAGTGCAAGCGGATCACGATAATTCTCAAAAGAGGTAAGTCACATGTTTGTTTAATTATATTTCAAATTATTCTCATAAATTGCAGAATTTCTAGATTCATCTAAACTTTTTGGAGACTCAATTATATCGATGTAATGACCCAGAAAATCAGTTTTGAATTTTTATTATAAAATTACCGTTTTACTCATCTCGATAGTTATCCCAAGTCACTTTTGATCAATTTGAGAAGTTGGTTTGAAAATTTTTGAGTTATTTGTTAATATGATTGTTTAGTTGACGGGTGATTTTAAATAATTAATTTCAGTTGGTGATTAATGGGCCAAGTGGTATAGTATAATTAATACCACTTAACCCATCTAAAATATTAAAACCATAATTAAATAAAGGGGAGATTATTTCTTTTAGTCACAGCAAGAAAGAGAGAAACCCTATAACGACGCTCAATTTCAAAGGAGGAAGCAGGAGTGCCTTTAGGTAAAAATCTATCTAATTATTCTTTCTTATTCGTATATATTAGTGTACATGGTATGAATACTAATCATAACTAAATGGACTGGTAAAAAATGAGATGATCCTTATTTTCTGATGGTACAAAATTAAGTCGGCTGAGAATTGGGTCTATACAATTCTTAGTAAGCGTAAGTTATTGTGGTTTGTGCAAAACAATTGATAAGTAGTAGTGGATCTTCATAGTTTATGATATTGAATAAATAAGTGCTAAGAGCGGCCAATGGAAAATCAAAAGAATTCACGTTCTAGTAATTGTTAAACTTTATTGTTCCATTTATTTATTGTTGGGGTTAATTAGTAATGATTGAATATGCATTATGCCATATACATATATATGCAAAGAATGACCGCCATGATGTAGCAGCGATGGTTAAGAAACCAATCTATGGCAATATTCTTGAAATTAACGTATTAAAGTTATACTATTAAATTAGTTGAGATTTTAGGAATACAGTGGAAATAGTAGATGTAATATTAGATAAGTTGGGGGTTAGATATTGCTAGTGCAACGTGAATGTGGGGAAGCAAACCTTGTCTGCAATCATTGTTAATAATTACCAAGTGATTGAGATAATAATTGGAATTATAAAAGTGGTAGTATAATGACTAAAAGGGTAGGATGATGGATGGCTTAAGGATTTGTTAAGTTACTGATTTTGTAACTCATTAAATTGTTCCCCGTTCTTTTCGTTTCCTTCTTATTGATTATCTTATTGTTGGGGTTAATTAGTAATGATTGAATATGCATTATGAAATAGTGGGTGTATTGTGATACATAAAGATCATTAAAATTATGCTATTTTGAGATATTGAGATTAAACTCCAGACTTGAAATTTGGAAATATGAGAGTTGGCATGTTAGCAAGATAAGGAAATTGATTATAAATTTGAGTGAGTTTTTGGGTCTAAGCTAGACCTATAGTAATGTGGGTGTTGTTAGTTTCGAAATTTTATTGTGATTATTAATGTGAATAGATCGCTTGAGTTGGAAGTACAACGAAAAGGGAAGGCTCAAGTCCCG